CACCCTGAAGTGCAGTGTGCAGTGTCTGGTACAGCTGCAGCGTGTTTGGAAACAAAAGTAAATTGGCCTGCAGCAATTAGAGATGAAGTGGCTTTTTATGAGCAAAAGGATCCTGTAGCCTATGAATCAAAGCTGCAGAACTGTAAACAGTGAGAAGCTATTTACTCAGCAGTTGTAGCTAGGAAGCAGAAGAAAGGTGGGCATACAGTAAAAAGCAGTGATTCTCAAACCTGAGCATGCAACAGAAACTCAGGTTTGTTAAATCTCCTGAGCCCAACCTATCCTCGCAAGTGTCTGATTCAGTTGGTCCGGGGTGGGGCCCAAGAAGTTCATCTCTAACAAATAACCAGGTGATGTTGCTGCTGCTCCTGGTTCAGGAATCACACTCTGAGAAACACTACACATAAAGTGGAATACCAGATACTCATCACGTCATACACGTGTGACTATCATAACTGTGTTGTCTTTACATATATAACATTATATTAATATTTGACTCAAATATTATTTTCTTCCTGGCCTTCTTAAATGTTCCTTATGAAATCATTCTTCCTGACCAGAGTGAATTATTTCTAGAATAGTTTCTTAGTACTCTTAACATATGTGTTTTGGGTCCTAGAATCTTAGAATCTCACCAAGGATATATAGTTCTGTCACATGATGTGTTGATCTTGCCTGAAACATTCCTGCCAAATGGTCATTCAGGCTGTGCATGAGCTCCATGAGTACCAAGAAACTCACCACTTCCCAAAGCAGCTCATTTCATGTGTGGAAAACCATGACTATTAAAAAGTTGTCTTTTTTAAATTGGGCTGAAATCTCTTTTCCTATTACCTTCACCTGTTAACCCCAGTTCCAACTTGTGCACAATATGAGAAAAGGGAGATAAATATTACTAAGATGTTGTGACTATTTTCCAGTAACCAAATATAGCCTCTTACCCTTTGTCCTCCTATCCCTTTTTGAATAAAGATGTGCATATCCATCAACCATTCCTTATGTATCTTTATATAAGGAATGGTTTTCATATTCCCTCATCATCCTGGTTGCCTGCCTTCTCAATTTTATATCCAGAATTTAACATAATTCTCTAATACTGTAAAAATAATTATAATATAGTAGAATGGTGTGGACTTAGAGCTTAGTGGGTTAGATTATATGGTTTAACATCAGAGACTAGAATTTGAGTCTCATCTCTGCCCCTTTTTAGTCCTGTGATCTTGGGAAAGTTTATTTGCCTCTTTGAGATACCTTTGCCTCATGTTTTAAATGGGGTTATAGGGACTTCGCTGGTGGTGCAGTGGTTAAGCATCCGCCTGCCAGTGCAGGGGACACAGGTTCAAGCCCTGGTCCGGGAAGATCCCACGTGCCACAGAGCAGCTGAGCCCGTGTGCCACAATTGCCGAGCCTGCACTCTGGAGTCTGAGAGCCACTACTACTGAGCCCACGTGCCACAACTCCTGAAGCCTGCACGCCTGGAGCCCATGCTCTGCAACAAGAGAAGCCACCGCAATGAGAAGCCCGTGCACTGCAGCGAGGAGTGGCCCCCGCTCACCGCAACTAGAGAAAGCCCGTGTGCAGCGTGCAGCAACGAAGACCCAACAGGCCAAAAATAAATTTATTTAAAAATAAAATAAAATAAATGGGGCTTCCCTGGTGGCGCAGTAGTTGAGAGTCCACCTGCCGATGCAGGGGACGTGAGTTCGTGTCCCCGTCTGGGAGGATCCCACATGCCGCGGAGCGGCTGGGCCCGTGAGCCATGGCCGCTGAGCCTGCGCGTCCGGAGCCTGTGCTCCGCAGCGGGAGAGGCCACAGCAGGGAGAGGCCCGCGTACTGCAAAAAATAAAAATAATAAATAAATAAATAAAAATAAAATAACTGGGGTTATAAAGCTCACCCCACGTGCTGTTATTGGAGTGTGGTGCTGAATAAAGAGAATTAGAAACAGTTACTTGAAAAGCAATTTCAACCCTTAGACGTTCCCTCCGTGCCAAACAGATGGACAGTTGCCCTGAATATTCACCCACTCTCACAACCTCTGGCAGAAGTCTGGAGATGTGTTTTCTGGAGAAGGTGGGTGGAGGGTCTCTGAAATGAGAGATGCTAGGTAGAGTCGAGTGTGCAGGTCCTATAACAAACACTACAGGATGAAGTGACCATGTGCAAACCAAATGCTGAATGCCGAGAACCCCGTCTCCTTTCCCTGCTAGACTCCCAGCACACTGAGAGCCAGATCTTTACCTTCTAGGCAGGAGAGAGAAACTGTTCTCACAAGCACCTATAACCCTCAGGGGAAAGAACCAAAGATACTGACATTAGTCGTTCCCCAACAGATGACCCACTGAAATGACTATACACTGAAGCTCAGTGTTGACCAGTCTCACACTTACACTCAGAGCTTCCAATCAACTTTGTAATTTTTCACTCTAATCATAAGCAGACAGCAAGGTGTTCCAGACATCTGAAAGAAACTTCTAACGTGGAACATCGAAACAAGGGATAAGAGAATATGTGGCACCCATGAAACAAAAACAGGGTGGTACAAAAAGAATTTCTGAGAACCCCCAAATAATAGCTCTTGGAAATTAAAAATATAATAGCAGAAATTAACAACTCAGTGGTAGGATTGAAAGCTAAAGTTGACAAAACTCTCTGAGGAAGTAGAGCACAAAGACAAATGTAGGGAAGATGGGAGACAAGATTAGAGGACTAGTCCAGGAGATCTAACACCTGGACTAGTTAGAGGTTCAGAAAAAGAACACAGAGAAAACAGAGAGGAGAAAATAAATTATTAAAGCAGTAAAGAAAAGTTTCTAAAGCTGAAGGAAATGAGTTCCTGATTAAAAGTCAGTTGACTTTCAGTTGACCTCAATGAAGTCACCCTTGGGGCACACAGAGAAGCCTCCAAACACGGTGGACAAAGAGGAAATTCCATGAAACTTCAGAGATAAAACGGTTACATATAGTTATGTACAATGAATGGAGTGACTCCCACTCCAGAGCAGCAACACTGGAAGCAAGAAGACAGTGGAATTCTGCCTTCACAATTCTGAAAGAAAGGATTTCTGGCCCAGAATTTTATGCCTAACCAAATATCATTAAGCCTAAAAGTAGGACACAGACATTTTCAGACACGCGAGTTCTCAAAATTTTACTTCTCACGCATCCTTTTTCAGTGAACTAATGGAGAACGTGCTACTCCAGCACGAGAGTAGACCAAGAAAAAGAGAAAGACCTGGGATATAGAAAACAGGAGGATGGCGAAGGGACATGTCAGATGACAGCTGTGAGTGGAGCTCAGAGTGTCGCTGTGTGACTCAGAACACAGATATGCTGAGGCTTTCCTCATTGGCATGCCCATTACCACATACCCTCTTTTTAATCCAAGGATAGAATGTCTGGATAGGCCTGACCTAGAGTCCTAAGTGTGCTTGTCCTGTCTTGACCGTGTGTGCATGAAGTTCCTACTTTCCTTTTTGTGTCCTGCTGCTGCATCAGCTGAGAATACTCATTTCACCCCCCAAAAGTTTTGTGATGGGAATTCTTTCCTGAGAACTGGAGATAGGCCTCAGAGAGCTTTGAAGCAGAAAACAGAAGCTGCCTGCCCTGGCCACGTGTTCTACAGGAGGTCCAGTTTGGTTTAGAGGGGCATGAATATGTAAAATAAAATTACTATAGAGAGATAAGTGCTAAATGGTAAGCATTAATTCCCCTTTTCTATGACTTATAGTGAATACGTTTGTTTTGTTTTGTTTTTTAAGTAACAAGCACAGAGTTAGTTACAAAGACTTCAGCACTGGAATTTGCCAATTTTTACCACCTAAGACATAAGTGAATGTAAATAGACATTCCAAGGAGACAAGAAAAAGTTCTGTGCCCAAGAAAGTTTGGAAAACACTTGAATAAATTACAGGTGGCCCTGGAACAACATGGGTTTGAACTGCATGGGTCTACTTACACATGATTTTTTTCAATAAGCATGTAGTACAGTACCACAGGATCTGAGGTTGATTGAACCTGCTGATTCAGAACCTCGGGTATGGAGGGCCAACTGTAAAGTTATACAGGGATTTTCAAATGCGCAGAGGGCCAGCGCCCCTAACCCCCATGTTGTTCAAGGGCCAGCTGTACTGTCGATTTCTCAGAACCTTAAATATGCTGACGGACATTGTTAATCCCCTAACGGGAGGCACAGTATGCAACTGGCTAGTCTTGACTTTGAAGCCCTTTTCTCACAAAACATCTTTTTACATCTTAAGGAACACAGTGTTCCCCAGAACAGTTTGGGAAATAATGATTTGGAGTGAAGTGTGAAAGAAGAGATTTAATATGATTTTGCCTGAAGGGAAGTTTAAAACGTTATCAGATTTTTAATTTTATGGAAAATAGGCTTAGAATGCTTTTGATTTTACTTACAGTTTCTTGGTGGAAAAAAAAAAATTATATACATGTGCTGAAGTGTCCTGGATCTCAGATGGGTTGGACTCAGTCTTGACTATATTTGACCATTAAGAGAAAAAGACTGGTTTTATAACTGTGGGGTACTTGTAGTTGGTTGTTCATTTTGCCATAATATTTTCTGTCAAAAAAAAAAAAAAAAAAATGAAGGAATCTAAGTTACAGGTTTCTCACACTTTCTACTTTAAATGTCAACTTAAAATGCTGGCAGTGAGTAGAATACCGTGTAATACTTTACTTTTCTGCTGTCTCTGATAAGTGTAGTGTAAAAATATATTGGGCAACGTTTGAGAGTCAAGATGAATATTGATATTCCTATTTTAGTTTCATTTCCGTGGAATTATTGACACATAAACACAGCTTCAGATTTTCTCTATTTCTTGCTTTGGGTTTATTTGGGCTTATTATGACTATTTAACATATAAAATTCTAAGTAATTTATTTAAGTTGAGACCAGATAGGATTTTACATTGTAAAATTATTTTAGCTATTACTGTCATTTGTATGTTGCCTAATCTTTGTCTGTCATTTATACATTTTAGTTGCAACTGCCTCTAAGGGGGCATCCTCCTTTTCTACTTTATCCGTGTCATCTCCTGATTCAGCCTCTCCAAAGAAGTCTGTTCATCTCTCACCCCCAATTTTGGCCGGACCTTCCTTCTGGAGTTTGTCCCATCAACAATCTTCGCCTGCCTCTGTTAAAGATAAGACAGCCAGGGTTCATCACCCTTTTGCTCCTAGGGGCCCACTGTCCTCTGATGAAGAGGAAAATGACCACCTCAACCTACTGGAAATTCTTCCAGACAACTCTGATTCTGCCAAAAAGAAGACAAGTCCTATTTCTAGCAGTAATTGGGTAGCATCTTCCACCCAAAATGTAGACCATTTCACCTCTATGTCCTGTTCTAGTTTTCAGGCAACCAAAGACCTGCCTAGGGAGCCTGAAACAAATGATTCCACTAACGTTCTTCTAAGGGAGGTGAAAAATGCAATAGTTAAATTACATGAAGATCTGAGCATGGTGATACAAGAACTTAATGTCATCAATAACCATCTGGTAAGCATGAGTGGGAATAGTCCCCAAATAAACAAGTCTCTGCAGTCTCCCCAGTATTCTGAGGGGTGCTCACATCGAGTCTAACAATCTCAATAGCCATTTTTTTATAGAACTCATGTGGTGTCACTTCCCAAGGACTAAGAAATTAACCTTTTATAGTTTCTCATTACTATGGCAAAAATAGGTTGTTGGTTTGATTTTTCCTTGTCAGGTTTATTAAACAAGTATATTTCAAACCAATAAATTCATTTGGGTGGTTTATTTTTTACAGAGAGAAAGAATCACCTTTGATAATATTTTCAGATTTAGATATTAGTTCATTTGAAACTGAAGAGAATTTCATTCTTCCACGACCTGTACTTTACCTCAAAATACATTGAGCACTAGTGAAAGTTGTGGTCAGACTTCAAACTGCAAACGACTGTTCTAGAGCTTTTGGATAAATTGGTAGTAAGAAGCCCTTCATTTTCCATCTGTGTGGAGATTCATTGTTAACAGACCTCTGCCTTGATTTAGAAGAACTGAGTCTGGAGTGTACATTTCACATGTTCTAATGTCAAGTTTCAGGTTCTGCAAACCAAGGGCCAGAAATCTTTCCCTTCTTGCAAATGCCACTGTTGGTTGAGAGTTAAGTTGAGACAAGTAGGACATGGAACAGGTGGTTTGTTGTTGTTGTTGTTAATGTCTATTGCAAAGTGAATTTAAATGTGTACTCTTTTTCTTGTATTTTGGAAAATAAATTTGGTGTTTTTCATCTTACATGTATCTTTTAAATTCTTTAAGACTGCCTTTCAAGTAGAAATGTCTCAATTATTTATAGGGAAAATGCTCTGGTTTTGGGATTACAGACCGTTGTTTCTCAATCCTGCTGCAGATTAGAGTTACCAGAGGACTTCCCTGGCAGTCCAGTGGTTAAGACTGCGTGCTTCCACTGCAGGGCGAGTGGCCAGGGAACTAAGATTCCTCATGCCAAGCAGTGCAGCCAAAAAGAAAATAGAAAAAAAAAAAGTGGTAGAGTCACCAGAGAAGCTTTCATTTCATCTCATATTTATTTGAAAGAATAGTGTAAAGGGCTCCATGTACCTGTCACTCAGTTTCAACAATTACTAACCAAAGGGCAAAATAATATCTGATAATTTTGAAGAAGTATGAGACATTTAAAAAGTATTCTAATGCCCTGGGTGCCACTCCCAAATCAAAACTGATTTTCATCATGCAAACGCGGTTAGGAACTAGAGGGGACTGTTAGTGCAGGGACATGGGATGAGACAGGTAAGCCAATCAGAAGGCTGTTGAAGTTAGCCAGGTAAGAGCTGATGTGGCTCAAACCAGGGTGAGCACAGTAAAGGAAAGTGAGAAGTGATTCGTTTAGGGATTTGCCGATGGGTTGTACAAAATATATGAGAGAAAGAGAGGAGTCAAAGATGAACACAAGGTATTGGACTAAGCAACTAAAATTCAGGATGCAGTTGCCATCAACTGAGATGAGGAAAGTTGAAGACAGAAAAAAAATTGAGGCATCCATTTTGTTAAATATCAGATATCTATTAGATAACCAATTAAAGATATCAAGTAAACAGTTGGATATGAGAGTGAGTTTGAGAGACAGGTCTAGATTGGAATGGAGGCTGAGAGTTAGTAGTTGATTTTTATTGAGAGCTATGAGACTGGATGAAATCACCAAAGGAGTCCGTGTGAAAGTGGAAAAGAGTTGAAGGCCTGAGCCCTGGGGCATTCTAACATGAGATCAGGAAGAAGTTGGGGAACCAATGAAGGAGCTGAGAAAGAGCCACCACTGAAGTAAGAACAAAAAAAATACGGTGTGTAGTATTTGGAATCCAAGAGGGTTTTTCTATTCTTGGCTCTTTTGTCTTCTGTATGCATTACAGAACCATCTTGTCAAGTTCTTTCCAAAGCCCTATTAGATTTTGAACAAAGTTGCATTAAGTCTATTAATCAATTTGGGGGAATTTTTAAAAATTTAATCTTCTAATCCATGAACATGTTATATCTCTATGTCCATATAAATGTTCTCCTAATGTTTTTCGATAGGCTCATTATTTCCCCCACATAGGGCTTCTGTTTCTTTTTTAAAGACCTAATTCTTGTTCTTGACACTTTTATGCTATTGTAAGTGCTACCATTTTGCTAATTTACCATTTTTAAATTTTAGAATAGAATAGTTCATAAAAATGTTCAGTGTACAGTTGGACATTGCACATCCATATAGCCTTTATTCAGACTCACCAGTTTTTAACATGTTGCCATGTTTGCTTTATCTCCCTCTGCTGCTAAACACATGTATGTCTGTATACACATTATGTAGGTAGACACACACAAAAACATGTTTTGCTGAGCCCTTTGAAAGTAAGTTTCAGATATCATGACACTTTACAACAGAATACTTCAGCATACCTATTGCATGAATCAGGGTAATTATTTCCCAACCTACCTTCCAGTTAACTAATTCTCTCTTCAGCTATGTCTAATCTGTTGTTAAATCTTCCCATCGGATTTTTAATTGAGTTATTGTATTTTTCATTTCTAGAATTCTACTTGGTTCTTTTAAAATCTGCTTTATTGCTTTTCATAGGTCTATGTTTCTTGCAGATATTTTCAAGCATATCTTTGTCACTAGGAATGGCAAGCAAACTAGTATAGAATTCTTACTAGTAAAAATAGTAAGTAAACTAGAAAGTATTCTTGATAGGAACTATTAAGAATGGCTTAATACATGCATTTAAGGCTATACATTTTCCTTTACATAGCTGCAATCCACAGTTTTTTAAAATTGAGATATAATTCACATACCATAAAATTTACCCTTTTAAAGTGTGCAATTTAGTGGTTTTAGTTTATTCACAGGTTCCACTGTCCTATTCTAGAACATTTTTGTTACCACAAAAAAGACATCCATACCTGTTAGTAGCCACTCCTCATTTCCCCCTCCTCCAAGCCCCTGGCAACTACTAATCTACTTTCTGTCTCCATGAATTTGCCTATTCTGAATATCCCATATAAATGCAATATATAATACTTGGCTTTTTGTGTCTGGCTTCTTTCATTTATCATAATGTTTTTTAGGTTCATCCATGTTGTAACATATATCAGTACTTCATTCCTTTTTATGGCTGAATAATACTGCTTTATATGGATATATACCACATTTTGTTTAATCATTCATCATGGACACTTGGGTTGTTTGCATTTTTTGTCTGTTATGAATTTGTGTGAACATGTGTTTTCATTTCTCTTGGTCATATACCTAGGAGTTGAATTGCTGAGTCATATGGTAATTCTTTATGTTTAACTTTTTGAGGAATTGACAAACTATTTTCTGAAGTGGCTTCAGCACTGAACCACAAGTTTTGGTAGGTATTGATAATATTTTCATTGTCTTTTGGCTCACAATATAGTCTAATTCCTATCATGAAGAAATGTAGAAGTGTGTTTCTTAATTTCCCAGCATATTGTACTCTCTGGTAATTCTAGCACCTAAGGTTTTTGCAGGTCTGTTTTTGTTATCTATTGCCCTGCTGATTTGTGCTCATGATGTTATGTTTCTTGTGTACCTGATTTTTTTTTATATAAATGTATTTATTTATTGATTTTTGGCTGCATTGGGTCTTCGTTGCCACACACAGGCTTTCTGTAGTTGCAGAGAGAGGAGGCTACTCTTCGTTGTGGTGTGCAGGCTTCTCATTGTGGTGGCTTCTCTTGTTGTGGAGCACGGACTCTAGGCACGCAGGCTCAGTAGTTGTGGTTCGTGGGCTCTAGAGCGCAGGCTCAGTAGTTGTGGCGCAAGGGCTTAGTTGCTCCGCAGCATGTGGGATCTTCCCGGACCAGGGCTCAAACCCTGGTCCCCTGCATTGGCCAGGTGGATTCTTAACCACTGTGCCACCAGGGAAGTCCCAACGTACCTGATTATTTTTGACTATGTGCTGGTCATGACACTTGAAAATTTATTTGTACAGTTAACACAACAATTTGTTTGTTGCTTCTGCCAAGTGCCAGGTTCTATTGCACCACCATACTGGTTAGGTAAATCAAGGTCATGGCTTGAAGTTTTCTAGAATACCCAGGTTAATCTCAGACTTAAATTCCTCATAAGAGATGATTCATTTCTAATTCATTCTCAATGCATAGCCATTGGATTCCACTTTGTTGTAAGGAGTATCTCTTGTTAGATGCCCCACCTTGTGTGCAGTAATTTCTGTTCCTATCACCTTTCAAGGCCATCAAAATGAAAGTTGGAATTTGTTGAACTCAACAAGTGCTCTCAGGGAAAAGTGGCTTATGTGATCATTTGCCTGTCAGGTCTCTGTCTTTTTCAGTGCCTATTATTTATAAGATTCTGTACCAGGCCCTGGGGATACAGTGCTGAGCAAAATCAGATATAGTTCCTGTCCTCACACAGCTTGAGTTCTAGAATTCTGGAGAAATTTGATAGATTAATCAAATTGTTTTTTAAAATGTGAGAGGCTAATAGTTCTGGGAAAGAATATATAGGATTTGACCTGGTGAAAGAATTCTTTAAGGAAATAACTTTTGAGCTGAAATATGAATTCCAGTGTTATTGAAATAAATGCCACTAATGACATGTTGGGCAAATAAACTTCTTTATGAAATAAAGCAGAGCATAAAGTAAGTATGAAATCTTAAGACATCTTCTGTTGGCTTTCTTCATGCATCTGGGAGATCCACCAGTGGATTCTTAAGGGGCAGTAGGATACAATATCTCTTTTTTGTAGTGCCTGTAGAATTTCTTAGTTGTACACTGCCAACAGTTGAGAAGAAAATGTTTCCAGAGATAAAGCATTCTTCACTCCCCACCCCCCATCACCAAGAAGTACTACGTCAGACATCTTGAAATTTACTTGTTTAGAGAAACCCCACGAATAATTGAGGCAACAAAAACTATCCCTTTGAGAAACTACTTTACTTACTATGTGCTTGTCGCATGCACATAGTAACTTCAGATTTTTTTTTTTTTTTGCGGTACGCGGGCCTCTCACCGTTGTGGCCTCTCCCGTTGCGGAGCACAGGCTCCGGACGCGCAGGCCCAGTGGCCATGGCTCACGGGCCCAGCCGCTCCGTGGCATGTGGGATCCTCCCGGACCGGGGCACGAACCCGCGTCCCCTGCATCGGCAGGCGGACTCTCAACCACTGCGCCACCAGGGAAGCCCATAACTTCATATTTTAACTAGGTTTTACATAGCTCATATATTTTAATTCAAGCATTTGTTAATTAGCATAATTAACAAGCACTTATTTGAGTTTCTATTTAGCCAACTTCATTAAACGAATAGAACAAACTTGGCTTAAATTAGGAGTGGGTATATTCTGATTGACTTCGTAATTATCTCAGATTAAAAATACTTCATTAGATGTTATTCTCGTAAGCATTTTACTTGGAACTTGAGGATCTTGTTATAAGGCAGTTATAAAAATATTTTACAGTTTGT